AGGGTTACATTTTTCCACACTTTTGTATGTAGGTCCCTTTATTTCTTTGTCTTTCTGCATTTACCTGCTTTCTTTTTTTTCTTCAACTGAAAACCATAAAGAGTTAATTAGTCTACACAACAAAGTAGAGAAGAACTCTGCTTAAAGCTGAGTTTCCTATGTGTAGCAATACTACTAACCATAATGGTAGTTTCTCAGTCCCAGGGATGGGTGGAGAGAAGTAAATTTTGGTCACAAGAGAACCTCTGATCCAAACATTTTCAGAAGATGGAATGAATATTTTGATGCCTTAGGCTGTAATTTTCTGGACAGACATGAAGATTTTGAGGCTGACTGATTAAAATGCACAGCCCTTCTTTTTGTTGGTTAGCAAGTATTTAGCAGTTATGGAAGGCAGGAGAGTCACTTGTCCCCACCTTTTGATCACATCAGAATGTAGGGATTTTTTTTAAAGTGGCAGTTTCACTGAGATTTCAACTAGCCTTAACAAGTCCCACAGTCATGGACGACAATGATCACTGAGACAAATCAGGCTAGCTCAAACTGGTCTTGACAAGCCTTGAAACTAAGGGCTGCCTGAGAGATAACAATGATTTTGAAGAAACTTTTATTATTGAAACGGGTTGCCCGGAGAGGTTGTAGTTTCTCCCTGCTCTAGCTGGCTCTTCTCCGAGTGTGGGGATAGTATCTATTGCATTAGGTATTAGATTAGAAGGCAAGATACTTTTTTTTTAAGGAGATGTGATTGCCCTAACACTGAAATATCTGTTAGTATATTTTTGTTAGCTTAATTAAAGTATGTATCTAAAAGGATAAAGGCTTCTTTACTACTGACACCTTTTTGACATTTTAACTCTTCCCTACTATACAAACTTTGCAATTGCTGAATCAGTATTGTCAATATAGTTGCAGCATGCCAGGGACTTCACTAATGTCTTTTGATCTTGGGATGGTGTTTTTATTATTAATATTAAGAATGATTACCTGAATGTCTGCAAAATCATTATTTATCAAGAAGATATCATGTTTCAATTAAAAGCTTGTCATTTCTCTGGTCTTCACCATGCTAAAAATAGTAATTGTGATTAAATGAGTGTAGACTTTCAGCTAAATTTGGCTAATCAATTTATACAGACTGTTCTTCTGCAGCCTGAATGTCTAATCTGCCTCTATTTGTCTAATGTCTAACCTTTTTCTCTTCCATGTGGAGCTTCTTTCTTGACAAGAACAACAAAATCAAGTGTTTTCTCTGCTATACAGTTTTAGGAATGACTTCTTATATGTGTCCTATTTTTGTTCTGAAGATCCTTTCACTGTAAAATCTTCTGTGATCTGCACTAACACCTGTTCTGCTAGTCAAGGAAGGAAGCCAAGGCATGTTGTGTGATAATGCATGGAAATGAGATTCTGTTTTGGGGAAGTAAGGATATGTATTTTAAGGAGACATAAGAAATTTGTTTAAGGTCCTGGGTAGGAAATAAACAGAGCCTGGATTTGGACAGGGTGCTTGGAAAGGAAAAACAGCAGAACTTTCAATATTTACTGTTTGATTAAAATTTAGTATAAAAGGAGTCACATTTAAATATTTGTTTCTTCACATGGGAACTGCAAACAATTTTTATTACCAGCTTGCTCTCAACATGTTGTTTTGGATTTTTTTTTAAGTAATGCTGCTTGGCAGTAAGAAAAATTCTTAGTCAGGTTGAAAAACTGTTCCATACTCTACCAATGATCTGCTAAGTTGTGTGGTGGGATGCTTGGTTTGCTTTGTCTTTTTCTCTTATCTGTAAAACACCCAGGGCAGTATCAGTGCTACTTGTAAAGAAGATTGTGATTGGTCTCCTTAAAAACGGAGAATTGTTATTTTGGTCAAGTTATTCACAGTTATTGCCAGAAATGAAAACCTGAAAATTGTTCAAAGCTTTACACAAGTTTATTTTATCCAATTAACTAGAAAAAGTTATTGTTGAGGCCAGGAGGAGAATTAACCTTAGAAAAGCCTCCCCTTTTCACACCACTTCATATCCATTAAAAAAAACCAGGTTGCCTTTTGCAGAACTGGTTTGTAAGACCAAGAAAATTTTCACTGCTCAGAAGTAGGCCAGGAATAATTCTCTGTGTAGAGCAGAGTCACTGTGATGGTTCAGGAAGAGTTACAAAAAAAGGATGTTGACACATAATGCCAGAGACCAGCAGCCAAGTCTTCCAGTGTCTCAGACTACTAGGGAAAAAGAAAGAACTTCAGAAGTGTAACACAAAATAGTAAGCACCTAGATCAGGGAACTCTTCTAAAGTCATGCAGATCTACACGGACCCATCCAGAAGTAAAAGTGGGAGAAGACCTAAATTCTGCTCCTTGAAATCCTCAGATTAGGGCCTTTGTCATCTGCTTTCCTTACACAAACAGAGATGACCTTTTCCCTTTAAAACTTGTCACAGAGGAGAGACAGCAATCCCGTTTTGATGGAATTCAAGTGACTGCGAGTACTTAGGGAGCAAGATCTGAGGGCTCTTCTCCCACCTCTTTCTAACTCCTGTCTAACCTGTAACCTGTTCATGGGGGAAGGGAAGGAGATCTCTCTTCTCCTCGTGGACTGAGAACAGGTTTACAAAGAGTGCGCTTGAAGGAAAACTTGCCCAAAGGTATGGATGTGAAGGATGGAGCTGGTGAAGAGGATCCCCCCCTGGGCCTACAGCTGCACTCATGCACCAGCGGTTACAGTTCACTCCCAGTTACTCCCAGCTTCCTGACCAGTTTAAAGTGTAATAAACAAGACTAGTAGAGATCTAATGCTAAATCATCAAAGCTACAGAGTTTAAGGCACATAAAGCTTCTTTCAATCCTTATTCTCTGAAGAATGTGCATTATATTAAACAGACCCAGATAGATGACAGCCCTTCCCAGTTTTGACTTTTGTATCACTTACAGTCAGATTCCACTTTATGGCCATCTCAGTTCACCTACTCTGGATAAGAAGCATGATGCCATCATCTTCCTACCAGTAACTGCCCTTTTACCCCTCAGAAAAATATTCCTACCATTCATTCCGGTTACTAGTCTGAGTTTTCCAACCCTATAACTACTGTGGAATTTGGTCCAGTTGCTTATGTGGGAAAAATGTCAGGTTCATGAGAAGCATGGCAGATTTCACTGCCCAGTTCAGAATGTCTTTCAGTCTGTTTTTTACTGTGTGGCACTGAAAAGCCTAATTTTTTCCTTTTTCCACCTTTTCCTTACTATCCTTCTCTCCTTCAAAGTATTTATTAGCTGGCCTGCATGCACACACAAAATAAAAATAGGACTAAAAGAGAACATGAAAAAGTGACAGTTCATTGTTTTCACTTTTGTTATTCTAATGCATCTCATTTACCCTTGCCATTTTAACCTATCTCATTTCAACTAAAACTATTTACTAATAAGTATAATTTAACTGTGTCTTCAACATTTCATGTATGAAAATAAATGCCAGGGCCTTTTGCAACATACTACTAGTCTTCTAGAGCTCAAATGCAGCCATGCTAGAAGAGTCACTTCTTTGCTGAAATAGCCCACTGACATTTTGTATTACAATTTTTTATAAAGTACAATAGGGCAATATCTTATGTTTGGGTTTAATTTGTTCTTTTCAACAACAAAAAAAAAATCTGGCTGGTCTTTAATTAGAAGCCAGTTGAGGATTTTGCCTTCTGATTTAATAAAAAACTATCTCAAACAATTCGTGGCAATCCTTAAAAAAAAAATAAAATTAATTTTGTTGTCACTTTGTGAGACTTACTAATAAAGTGGAATCATAATAATTAAATTTGATTCTGATTTATGAGGATTGTCTGAAAATCATTTTGATATTCTGAGGATTTGGATGAAAACCTAAACTGGTGTTTTCCTTTAAAGAAGACAATGGCAGGTTTTATAAAACCTAGGGGAAAAAAGGAGAAAAAAATAAACCAAAAAAAACAACAACAAAAAAACACCACCAAACAATTTGTGTCCAAATATTTAAAGGTAACATTGAGACTGAAGCATTCTGTTCACGCAGGCCAGATTTCCACATTATTTAACCTATCTGGGAGAACCGAGGCTTCACCTGGCTCCATTAATGTTTAAGTAACATCCGATACACTAACATGTATGTCAAACTACCTGTTTGAGATTTTTCCCCTACAAGTCTGCTTCTGAATTCTGTAAGTCTTAAAGAATAATAGTATACACTGCTGTAACTGAGAAAATGTTAAACTAGCACCTTATACCGATTTTATATGCATTAACTAGGCACTGACAGCTTCATTTTAAAAACACAAACTATTTGTAAAAATATCAAAAACTTGCTATTCGCCTACAGAAGATCACAAAAAGTGCAGGGTGCTGGCAAGTTTCAGACACTTTTCAGCAGTATATATATCCCTCTGAAGGTCTCTCATCTTACCAAAACACGAAATTCTGTAGAAATACCGTATCCTTAATAGTTAAAGATATGGTTAAGGGAGCCGAACCTTTATCCATATTCAAAGCTCAGCCATGAAATTGTGTTACTTCCTTCTCTTTTAAATCAATTTACGACAAAAATAATGAAGGTACACCCTTGGTTTCTATCCTCATCTGGAGAAAACCCCCTAAGGAATAAGCCTGTATTATGGGGGAGACTTTATATCTACGGATTTTATTATAATTTAAAAGGAAAAACAAAAGTTTGCCGTTCCCGGGGTCTCTCTGGCTTCACAACGCGGGGTTAAACACATCTTTTCTCTCTCATCTGGGGTCTCGACAGCAAGAAACTCCCCCGAATGAAAGTCCACCGTCTTCTCTTCACTCCCCGAAGAAACTGGCGTATTTTTGTAGCAGTCATTGTACAAAAAAGATGAATTTATAACTCCGAAGAAACACAGACTCGGAGGACGAAAAGCTCTTCCTGGCTAACAGTTAGGCGGGCTCTGCAAAGCACCAATCACAGATCACCGCTTCGCTATAAATTGAGGCATCGGGGTTACTGTAGCCCAATTACTTTCTTTTGATTAGGAAGAAGTCTCTGCAGCGATGTCGGAGACCGCTCCCGCCGCCGCTCCCGCTGTCGCGGCCCCCGCCGCCAAAGCCGCCGCCAAGAAGCCGAAGAAGGCAGCGGGCGGCTCCAAAGCCCGCAAGCCGGCGGGGCCCAGCGTCACCGAGCTGATCACCAAGGCCGTGTCCGCCTCCAAGGAGCGCAAGGGGCTCTCCCTCGCCGCGCTCAAGAAGGCGCTGGCCGCCGGCGGCTACGATGTGGAGAAGAACAACAGCCGTATCAAGCTGGGGCTCAAGAGTCTCGTCAGCAAAGGTACTCTGGTGCAGACCAAGGGCACGGGCGCCTCCGGGTCCTTCCGCCTCAGTAAAAAGCCTGGAGAAGTGAAGGAAAAAGCCCCCAAGAAGCGGGCGGCCGCAGCCAAGCCCAAGAAGCCGGCGGCCAAGAAGCCCGCCAGCGCCGCCAAGAAGCCCAAGAAAGCGGCGGCGGTGAAGAAGAGCCCCAAGAAAGCCAAGAAGCCGGCGGC